CAACAACTACTACTCCAAAATGCTCATGTTGATTCCCTGATTGTACTAGCACAACTACTTAATCAACCAACCGTAGCCATTTCTGAAGCAATGAATTGTTATGATGAGGTTGGTTACAACTATTGTTGTTTTTATTAAAATATTATTTTTAACATGCATATATCTTTCATTTTTGAGTACTCTCAATACATCAACTCCTGGTAGATTAGCTAATTTGACTTGAACATTCAGATACTAGACCTAATTTTTTATCCATTGCATTTTGCTAACGATCTCAAACGCTTTTGTTTTCCTTTTTGACAATTGCTTTCTTATTAAACAAAGTCGGTTAAACTTTCTTTTGGACAATGTATACCCCATTGATTTTGAATTCCGCTAAGAACATCTATGCTTACTACTTTACACAACCACTAATAAAAAGAACTAAAAGCTCATTTTCGGATTACAAATCAGTATGTACATAAATTCGGCATCCACCTAGCATGACTAAGACACATTCACATATGATAATGTCTTATAAATATCCCCAGAATTCGTAGTGTAACACCGTCCCCAATTATATTTAATTTTGAGTAATTAATATATTGAACCTTATGAAATGGTTAATGAATTTATGAAGTTATAAATTTTTATTATTTCTTTCGCGTGAATAGTAAATTACACGTGGGGCCCACACCGGGAGCGGGGGCCACTCGAGATTCCCGAGACCACATATTCTATTCATCTTGGTTGAGATAATATTTATATAGTGGTGGATATTTTACTTGGGCCATGAAAAGGCCCAGAGTTGACCGATTGGTCAAAAGAGGTCCAAATGCCGATATTAGTAATTTAACAGATAACAGTCCGAAAGTGGATTTTGGAGACTTCTAAATTAAAGTTGGGGAATGTATATTCATTCTAATTGTCATTATGAATGAGAACACATAATATATTTTATTTGACCCGATAAAATAAAATATAATTAAAACAGTCCGAAAAGTACAACTTTCGAGGCCGAATGTACACTTTGGGATACAAAGGGATGACCTCACACATGAGTGGGGGCCAACCCACGTTTTGTGTGCTGAATTAGACAAGGGAAGGGACGGAGTTGACAAAGGAAGGTGTGGAGGAGAAGGCTTGGCACCAAAGTACATGGAGGACCCCACTCCCATCACACATTTTGTCATTTGAGACAAAATAAGTCACTCTCTCTCACCCCCAATCATCTAGCTCGTCCAACCCTATCTTTTGAGAGGAGAAACTCTCAAAATACTCATTCTCCATAGCTGAACTTGAGCTCAAGGAAGAAGGTCCAAAGAGGGGTGTTTGAAGAAGGAAAAAGGGTTAGGAAAAGTGTGAAAATTAAGGTACTTACCTTGTCATAATTTTTCCTTTAATTTTCTTATACCATATGAAATATTTATCATATGAAGAACCCTTAGGATTGTTCTCCATGTTTTAAGTGTGGATTAATGGGTTGGAGGATGGTTCTATGTCCAAGAACGGATTTAGAAGCCAAAACGACCGGTTCGCCGGAAAATAACCTTTTAGAGGTTATTTGTATTAATGTGAGTTTTATAATTATAAAACCTTTTTAGGAACTTGTATAAGGTATTTCAAGAGCTTTCACGGAGTTGAAAGAGTCGCCGGAGTTGTCGCCGGAGTTCGTCAAAAGTCGCAGGAGTTTCGCCGGAGTTCAACCAAGAGGGGTAGAACTTCATAGCGTCAATTCAAGGTGAGGATGACCGACTATATTGCTTATAATTATTGGGTTAATTTCATAATATTTCCTAAGTAAATTAAATGTGATTTGCATGGATTATTAATGATTAATAATGCCTAAATGAAATTACTATTGTTTATAAATAGAGAATGCATAATATAAAAATTTATGAATAAATTGTGTATGATTATGTGTTATAAATATGGTGGCATGAGGTTTTTTTAACCATAAATTTTATTGTGATTAATGTACTTTTACTCCATGAAAAGAAATCATGAAAGGGTAAAAATGACATTTTGATATTAAGGTCAAATTATACTTGGATGAGGAATTAAATTGAAATGAACAAATGACTATGAATTAAGAATTTGGTTGTACTAAGGTCAAATGACTAATATTGAAATACTAGTCGGAGATGTTAGTTCGAATGATTGTTGAAAATAATCCTAAGAGATTTAATTGTGATGAATACGCTCAAAATAGTTTTAAGAGATATTCTTAAGTTGGACTTTGTGAACTCCAAATTACATTAGGAGTAGGCCTTAAAGGTTACTCAAAATGAATGGAGTGTCTAGGTTATGAAATTTGCTTAAAGATTAGATAACGTGACTAAGACTCTAAGAGTGGGGCTCTAGCACGTAGTAGTGATGACTATGAGCCGAGCTCTAGCAAAAATGTAGTATGACTATGAGCCGAGCTCTAGCACAATATAGTATGACTATGAGTCTAGCTCTAGCTTTATATAGTGTGACTATGAGCCGAGCTCTAGCATAAAGGAACGTGACTAAGAGCCGGGCTCTAGCGCGTGGAATGATATTAAATGAACAAGGTTTAACCATAATATAACAATACCCTATATTGAGGGTCTTAGAAATTGAAACATTGATTATACTTAGTATAGTTGTCATTGTACTTTTCAAATGCTTCAAAGTGCTGACCTCCCCTTCACGGGGAAGGCCACCTCACAGTTTCAGGTAGAACTTGAAGGTTGCTACCGTTGCCGTTGGTTCGGAAAGATTTAAGGAGAAAAGACGTGGTTCGTGCTTCCTCCGATTCTATTTTAAAAACAATACATTTGATGCTCATGGATATTATTATTTATAAATAATGATTTGGGGGCTTGCATGCCTATATTGCCAAGTGTGGCATAAACACTTGTAATAACTGTTTCCGCTGCTTCAATGAATATTCTACATTATGTTTGTTTATGGATGTACTTCGTGTGAATGATATTCCAGACGCCTCGTATAGTATGAATGTGTTGGACTGCGGTTGACTATTCGTACTGTACGGCGAATTGTTGACGTGTCCGGGTAGGTCCGGGGCGTGACACGTAGTTGCATCTTTCTTACTATACTTCATTCCATATGAATATATTATTACAATAAAAATACTACACTGCATGTAGTCTATCAGATTTCTATACATTTTGTGCTACCCCATTCAATAACACTAATTGATAATGGATGGCCAACATTTTACGTCGGCTGTAACGCATGTAACAAAAAAGTCAATTCTCCCCCAGACATCATATTCAATGCATGCATTGTGGCCAACAAAGTGGAGTCACATTCAAGAGGTATCCACAAATATTAATTATTTATTCTACATAATCATTTCCACCCTCACAACAAAAAACTCCAACTTCATACTTTATCTCATCTACAGATTTAGAATACAAGTTCAGATGCAAGACAAAACTGCAAAACTTGATAGCACGTTGTTCAACCACGATGTGGAGAAGCTCTTCCAATATGCTGGGATAGACAGACACAGAAATTGAGCTGCATGAGCTCAACGATAAATTGGCCACCTTTATCTTCATTGCAGGAGTGAAGGCTGCTTCTAAGAACCAACAGTCCAGGCCATACACAAGTCACTCTGTAGTATGTCTCACGAAAGCCAATTTGCTACCATCTCCAAATATCAACCTTCCTATAGAGAATGAAGAGAACGCAGAAAACGCTGAAGCTCCAGAAACCAAACCAAGTAATTCTGCAGGATCCTCAAAACGAAAACTAGAGATACCAAAGGACTTTGAAGAACCAGCCAATTCTCAGCCAAGCATCAGTGCAAAACACTCCAAGACCAATGCCCAAAACCAAATTCCTATCACAGAAGAAAGTGAAGAAGACGAGCCCCTCATTAAACAATCCGCGGAATCAAGAAAAAAGGCCACAAGTAAAAATCAATGCATGGACTCCTTTAACTATAACATTTTGTAACATGCAGGACATGTTGTATCAACTTAAATAGACTGCATGGTTAGTTTTTTTTTGTAAACTACTCTTTTGAAAGTCCTTGGGAATTGCTTTACAAGCAACCCTAAGGCTGATGTACATAAGGATATCCAAATAAATAAAAGGTTATGTAAAAATGGGAAGATTATAATCCGGGCAAGCATACAATATACGCGCACAACGCGTAGAACCTAGTATACATAATACATTATATGGAAGTTAGCTTAAACACGTATATACAATGAATATAAAAAAATACCACATACAAAGTATATTATACGTTTGTGCGCACAAACAATATTAGGCATATCATAACACGCATGTCTGTGCGCACATATAACTTCCCACCACTCCATTGATAATTAACAAAACTAAACATCTTCAACAACTTATATTATCATACAAACATTGCTTTTTTGTACAACACCAATGAACTAGTCTGCCCACACAGACATCTACTCAACATGTCTACCCACACATATGCACTATCAAACCATGTCTGTGTTCATAGGCACTACATTAACAAAATGTCTGTGGATTCGAACACCATTTTTCATGGTGTGATCATATGAAAATGAAATTAAACAAAAGACACCACAATATAAACACCTACTAAGATCATCCAAGACGTCTATGTCGTTCGTTTCAACTCCTTCCACGTCCAAGGCAACTCATGTCCGGACTACCGCCGTTCGTGTAAAGCCACCGCGGATGTTCTCCACACATCGCCGGGGATTTCACATACTCTTGTCATTCACACTCCATTAAATAAGCTGGAAGAATGGAGAAGATGGTGGTCACGCGGTCAGCTCATCCGGAGAGAAAGAGAGTGTGGAAATGGGGGAAAAGAACAGGAGAAGAATGGGTTGCAGATAGGGGGAATTGTGTGCGAATTGTGTACAAGTAGTATTTTTATCTATGAAAAAAGGAAAAAGTCATTTATACACATAATTTTACACATTCCTAATTATCTGTGTACACATGTAACTAATCAGTGTGATGTACAAATTATGTGTAATTTGTTACACATTGTTACATGTAACAGCCTCTATGAAAAATACTCTGTACATTGTTACATTGTTTATCTTCTTTGACGCGCAACCCTCTTCCAGTCTTGCTTGCAGCTTTACCTAAAAACTCAAATATTCTGCACTCTTATGGAAACCGCTGATACTTCACCGCAACAGGACAGCCCCCATTATGTTATCTCCGACGAAAAAGCCACCGAACCCAACGCCCATCAATCAGAAAATGGCAATTCTTCGCCTCCACGTACGATATCGGACCACACTGTTTCATACTCTCCGCCAGAACAGCTTCCCGTACCCGAAGCGAGGGAACCAGCTTTCCAAACGCAACCCACCCTAGTCCCGCCTCCAGTCAAAAGGAGACGCCGCCGGAAGAGATTCTTCACGGACATGATCTCCACTGCCCCATCGGCTGCTGCTGTATCAGGGTTACGCGTCCGCCGCCCCAATTACAATCCCTCCACCCCGTATTCGTACTCCGATACCGACCTCGCCGCCGCAAAAGAAGATCTTTCGAAGAACCCTAACCGCCGGAAGAGAGTTTCGGACCTTGCTAAGGAGGTCGATATCGAAGCCTTAATTGCAATCTCCGTCGGTTTCCCAGTCGATTCCCTCACGGAGGAGGAAATCGAAGCCAATGTGGTGTCCCAAATCGGCGGGGAAGAGCAAGCGAACTACATTGTCGTCCGCAACCACATCCTTGCACGGTGGCGCTCCAATGTCTCCGTCTGGCTCACCAAAGACCACGCCTTAGAGTCAATTCGAGCCGAACACAAGAACCTCGTCAACTCCGCCTACACCTTCCTGCTCAACTATGGCTACATTAATTTCGGACTCGCTCAGGCAATCAAAGAAACCAAACTGAAGCCACCTGAGGGCGTCTTCAAGGGTACTGTGATTGTCGTCGGTGCAGGACTCTCAGGTCTAGTAGCAGCTAGACAATTGATTTTTCTCGGGTTTAAGGTAGTTGTCCTGGAGGGAAGGACCCGACCAGGAGGCAGAGTGAAAACAAAGAAAATGGCAGGTTGTCAGGAGGGACCCACCGCAGCAGCGGATTTAGGTGGCAGTGTTTTGACTGGAATCAATGGCAACCCACTCGGAGTTCTGGCAAGGCAACTAGGCCTTCCCCTCCACAAGGTCAGGGACATCTGCCCTCTCTATTTACCGGATGGAAAAACCGTAAACTCTGATATGGATTCCATGGTTGAAACCTCTTTCAATAAACTGCTAGACAGAGTGTGTAAGCTAAGGGAAGTAATGATGGTAGAAGTTAAGTCAGTTGATGTTTCTTTAGGGGCCGCTTTAGAAACATTTAGGAGTGTTTATCAAGTGGCAGAAGATCCCCAAGAACGAATGCTCTTAGACTGGCATTTGGCAAATTTAGAGTACGCAAATGCTTCATTAATGTCCGAGTTATCCTTAGCCTTTTGGGATCAAGACGATCCTTATGAAATGGGCGGAGACCATTGTTTTATTCCTGGCGGGAATGAGAGGTTAGTTAGGGCATTGGCCGAGGACGTTCCGGTCATTTATGAACGTACGGTGGAGAGCATTAGGTATGGTGCGGACGGGGTTCTGGTCTACGCAGGCAATCAAGAATACCGTGCGGACATGGTTCTTTGTACCGTCCCTTTAGGGGTCCTAAAGAAAGGTACCATAGAGTTCTTCCCCGACCTTCCTAAGCATAAGAAAGATGCAATCGAGAGGTTGGGGTATGGTTTATTGAACAAAGTTGCAATTCTTTTCCCATATGACTTCTGGGGCGGTGAGATCGACACGTTCGGGCACCTGACCGAGGACCCAAGCACGAGGGGAGAGTTCTTTCTCTTCTACAGCTACTCCGCTGTATCGGGGGGGCCACTCCTCGTGGCGCTGGTTGCTGGAGAGGCTGCATTAAGTTTTGAGAAGATGTCCCCTTTGGAATCTGTCAGGCGGGTTTTAGATACCCTCAAGGGAATATTCAATCCGAAAGGGATTGCAGTTCCCGACCCAATCCAGTCGGTCTGTACGCGGTGGGGCCAGGACCGGTTCTCATACGGCTCATATTCTTATGTCGCGGTCGGTTCCTCAGGGGATGACTATGATATTCTTGCCGAGAGTGTGGCAGACCGAGTGTTCTTCGCCGGAGAAGCAACAAATAGGCAATATCCCGCCACTATGCATGGAGCTTTTTTAAGTGGAATGAGGGAAGCAGCACACATTCTTAGAATAGCCAATAGGAAGTCTATTGGATCTGTTGAGAAAACGGACAATGAGGAAAGCAAGGACATTGACCGACTCTTTGAGAATCCTGACCTCAGATTCGGTTGCTTCACGGTGTTGTATGATCCGACATCAACCGAACTTCAGTCCAATTCATTACTTCGGGTGGCACTTCAAGGGGATAAAAATAACACCAGTTGCTCTCTCCATTTGTATGGTATGATCTCAAGAGAGAAAGCCATTGAGCTGAGTGAAGTGGAAGGTGATGTAAAGAGGTTACAGAAGTTAAGTGTTGAGTATGGCATAAACCTGGCTGGTTGGAGAAGAGTATGCCATGATGCAGAATCTCTAGTCAATTCCATTTTCTCCGAGTACAACAGTATGAGGAATTCTTTAATTGTCTCGGCTATTTCCGATCATTAGAATATTTTTTCTTTCCAATTCCTGGAACTGAAGTTCTGACTTAAGCCATTACATTAATGTTTATGAGGAAAATGCCATGTGTACAAGTTTTTGTGCACACGTTCTCGTACATTTGGTCGTCATCAGGGCAATTCATCTGTATCTAGGCAATTTTTCTAAAAAATGCAGAAGTTGTCCGTAATTTTATACTAAATGTATGTGATATAGATAAGATGTGTATGTACAAATATTGTTTACACCAGGCATTGCTCTATTTATGATGTATATGAGTTTTGGTACTCTTAACTGAAGAAGTATGGTGCATAATCATTTACTATTAGGAGTATACTCCTATTATTTAAAACTTTAATTATTCTTTGGGAGAAAACACACCTTACATTGATCAAACAACACTGATCAAACAACAAGATTGCATAATACATGAATCTTACCCAAACAATTAAACATCTCTTATGATCAAATATGAAATGGTTTAGCCAATCACGAATAACACGAATCACAGACCATTGATTGGAAGTGAAGTATCCACTAGCCAAACTTGCTTTCATATTTTTAAACACATACTCTCTCCATGTTAAATAAGTGTCCCAATAGGCTTTTCACAAAATTTAAGATAATTTATAGGTTTACTATACACTTTTTGAGGAGATTTTTAGTTCTGTATCAATACAGTTTACTTTATTAAAATGTTCTGTAGCGGCTTTTGGGATAAATTTATTTTAAAAAATGGAAGTGAGACTTATTTTGATATGGTCCAAAAAGAAAAGTGAACATTAATGTGATACGAAGAAGCATTTGACAACATCATAATTAAGAAAACCAGTTTGAAGCTATGATGGCTTCCTCAATTCGACCGCAAAAACCAAGCCGCCTTCCAACTTCAACTAGTTGAACACTACGTACTTGACCTACCAAATATTACTATTTTAATGCTTGAAAAATATCTAATTTATATTTTAGATTGGGCAGTTTCCCTGACGCCTTCATTATTGTTTTGTATTATTTGGTTGGGGGGGGGGGGGGGGGGGGAGGGGCTTCAAAGGCTGAGTAGTAAATACTTGCAATATGATTTGCATATTTATTATATCCTGTAGGATGATGATCAGATCAAAATAAAGGTCGAATATATGTGTGATGGTTTCTTTTCCCATCCAATCAAACATCTTTTTCAGCATCTGATTCCTCAAACTTAATATTGGAAGTTGGAACATTATTCTGAGCTGTAATATAGTAGCACCACAAAAAGCTAAACAAGAACTGCTATCTCAATCTTTTATAAAGCTACATCAAATACAACTACGTACCATAAAATCATGAATAATTTTATATTTTTCTGAACTGTATTTTTTATTTTACTAAAGTTATCCTAAGTAGTAGTAACTTGACAGTGTCTCGTTTTTGGGCAACGTCCACGAATATTTGTTTCATTTATCCAAATATGACACCTTTTTTGACAAAATAAAATGTTTGGAACATAGTTTTTTGTGGAATGTGCGGGTGAAAGGTGCTTTAATTTAGTTCAAATGAAGCATCGATTCTCCTCTGTTAAAGATCTTCACCAATAAGGTAGGTTGAAGAATATTATTGATTCAGCGTGGTTGAATAACAAGGTCAATATATTGCATTCCATGCAACTTCCCTTCTTTAGAGCCCTTCCTTCAGTAAGCAGAGAGGTAGAGCTCGAGAAAGACTGATATAAATTGCAATGGAAACTTGCAAAAGATGTGAGAAGGAACTGGTAGGGGCATTCTATGGTGAAGCTTACTGCAGAAAATGCCAGAAATCCATTTCACTACTTGGGGATGCTCAAGGACGAGAGGGAATAATCACCCAAGCAGTAGGGAATACCAGCTCCGGAAGAAGAAGATTTGGAAGCATCTTGAGGAAGAAGAGTTCATCATCTGGAAGTCCTAAATCTCTCTCTTTCAGCTTTAGACCGAACGGTGTATCGTTTAACATACAAGAGGATACGCCATGCGGGAAGCGGGCACTTCTCTGCGGAGTGACATATCAGAAGGAGAAATATAAGCTTAGAGGAACTCTCCTGGATGTGAAGAGCATGAGGGATTTACTGGTTGAACGTTTTGGCTTTCAACCTGCCTCCATTCTTATTCTTGCAGGTATAATTTTATGGAAGGATTTCGGAATTCATTGAAATGTTTTGTTAAGAGTAATTAAGGTTGAGCTAGCTATCTAGTTCAACCACGAAAAGCTCTCAATAAGCTAAGTGAGACACTTACCAAACATGATTATTTAATTTGGCGAAAAAATGAAACTAAAGGGAATTTGTTGGCCGGAATTTCAGAGTGCTATCGTCAGTTGAAACATTTAAGAGTAGTTGTGGTTCCAATTTTCTTCATCTAAGACTTAAGGTACCAAAATGCATCAATACTAATAGTTAATGTACCGTTTATGCATTTTACCTCATTATAAAACATAATGATCATACTAGAAAATGTGAAAGGTTGGTTTCACTTGACCTTAACTTTGCTAAATAGTATTCATGAACTTATAAAATCTTAAGTTGGAAACTTTGGAGTGATATCACACATTTATTTATTTCTAAATCACTAATATCACACAGCTAGAGAAGGTCTAAAAACAAAGTGGTATACATTAAAGAAGGCTCATATTAATGACGATTAAAGAAGGTTCAAGTTGTTCTTTTCATATGGGCACATACCTCATAGCTAAACATATACATAGAGTCCATGTTTAATGTTGTACAAACCCACGTCATAATCACAAATAAAACTTGTTTTGGTACCATGTTAAATAATATGGAAGTGTTCATTAGAATATATGTATAACACTTTGATTAGAATGTAGGTATAAACTCAATTCAAAAGAGCTCCAAAGAACCAATGGACACTTATTAGAATGTTCATTCCTTTTTTATTGATGTTAGACTCTCTAAACACATTTCGGTCATTGATGTTACAAGTTGAGGTGAGCAAGAGCGGGTCCAATAAATATGGGTGTGTGACCAAGGCTGGTCTTAGAGGGTGGTCAAGGGTGACGGCCTTAGGCCCATAAAATACGAAAAATTAGGCCCGATAATTTTGTTTCTGTTTGATGTGAATTAGTGAGTATGTTATATCTTTGTTCATTTAAACTCAATCATGTTTGTGTTTATCGTAGAAATTTCTGGAGATAACCACTTAAGGAAAAAGTCTAAAACGGAGCGTAGAACCAATGAGTCTAGTGTCGATTGAGAAAACTTCCCAGATTGAATCTGCCTCCATTTTAAAAAAAAGGAGATATTTTTTAAATTTTATTTGAATCTTGTGTAAATACTTTTGTTTAAATATTCAACTTATCCCACTATAGTATGGGGTTTACAACATCTTTTTTAAAATAGGCACACAGCTTAGTATTGCTCCCAGGCCGCAAAATAAAAGCGGTCTGGGAGTGACTAAGACTTGAGAGAGTGAATGTAGCATTAGATCACATCTTTTGTTGTGTGACATGCTTAATGGAAGAGATGCCTAACATGCAGAGGAAGAGCCCTTCAGGGAACCAACAAGGAAAAATATATTAGAAGGTTTCAAGTGGCTGATGAGGAACTTGAGGGCAGGGGACTCAGTGGTGTTTTACTTCTCTGGACATGGATTGAGACAGCGGGAGCTCGAGGGCGATGAGATCGATGGATTTGATGAGACCATTTGTCCTCTTGACTTCAAGAGTGAAGGCATGATCCCAGACAACGCCATCAATGATATCATTGTCAGACCACTCAAAGAAGGAATCAAACTCCACGCCATCGTCGATGCCTGCCACAGTGGCACCATTCTTGATTTACCACGCATTTACAGCCGCAATGAGTACGTATATATTCTCATAGCCTAGTGTTTGTCACCCTTGAATTTTAACATGATCAATGAGGACATATAATAAAACTTTAAGGGTCTGTTTCGTCGTATGTTTTTTAGGGGAGTGGTTTGTAGGCTAAATCTATATATTGATTCATATATATATGAGATGCTATCAGATTTGAAGCAATAACATAATAGGTGATTATTTAGAGTAAGGATGTGTATACATTTCTTTAGTTCATTTTTTGTGTGGCGAGGATCTAACTATCTATTGGATGATGAAAAGATAACTTTTTGACGTCCAACAACTACATGCCACATGCGAATGTAGCTAAGAAATATACCAAAAAATGTACACTTATCTTCGACGGATTATTTAATTTTTCTCATTTAGAGAAAAATTACCTGGAATATTTAGAAAAGACAAATACTGAGCAGTCCTCCAGTCTTACTCTCCAAAATCTTATCCTTTCAAGTTTCAAAACCTTCCATCCAAGGATGGGTTTGGGTGAACGGTTTTAGAGCCTTAGAGGGAAGGCTTTCTAGAATTTAGTCTTTAGTCCACTTCTTTTTTTTTATACATCGGAAAGGCTTTAGTCCACTTCTTCAAGAACAAAAGATTTCTAAAAGAGAATAAAGAATGTTTATCATGTTTAATGCTCAAGTTTTATGTTGCTTATTATTCAATTTTTTAAAAAAATGCATAAAGATACAAACTTAGACTCTAAAGACATCCATCCAAGCATACCCTATCTAAGTTGCACTTATTTGTTTTTGTTTTCTGAAATTAGAAAGAGATGGACTAATAACGAACCTCCAAGCCGTACTTATAAGGGCACAAGTGGTGGAAAGGCAATATGCTTTAGTGCTTGTGAGGATCATCAATTGGCTGCTGACACTTCTGTAATACATAAATATACATTTCTTCATCACTTCTTTCATTTGCTCCTCTTTGAATTCAAATTCCTCTGAAGGAAAACTTTGATGCAGGCTTTTTCTGAAGGAAAATATATGAATGGAGCAATGACTTACACATTCATAAAAGCAATAAAGGAAAATGTAAACATAACGTATAGTGGGTTGATGCATTACATGCACCAGTCCATCAAAAGTGCTAATGTTGGAATTGGATGCTTGCCTTCTCTCAATCCCTTCTACCGCAAGTTGGTTCAGGTATTCAATATTAATCCATCCCACATGGCCAGACATCGAGATATAAATCAATACATAAGGCCTTGGACTACTTCTCTTATTAGATGACCTAAGACTGAACCGCAAGTTTTAATATTCAAGTGTCCACACACATCATACACAAATATTTGTTCTAATATATATACTAGACACAAAGAGGTCTCTTCTAAATATGATGATTGAATGGACAGGATCCTGTTTTATCAACATCTCACGATTTCGACGTCACCCAAAAGTTGAATCTGTAGCTGTGGGTGAACATCCCAAGATTTCGACATTACCCGGAAGTTGAAGTTGCAAGTGGTGCATGCATCAGAAAATCAGAAATAATTAAAGTTGAGCATGAAAATGTTGCTTGATCAAGTAATGAATTGCGAATTGTGATATTCATTTTGTATACTCCTAATATTTGCATTTGGTTATGGTGACTTTGTTAGCTTAATAAATAAAATGCATCTATATAAGTTATTAAGTAAAATTCCCGCAAGACAGCATGATATATTTATTAATACCATACATGCGAAAATGAACACTCAGTTTATGTCCCTTTTTATATAATTAATTACACACACACATATTAACAACATGCACAATCTCACAGTGCTGCTTTTGGAATGAAAATGTTACCGTTGAAGCATGTACCCCAATTCCAGTGGAATGATGTCCTGCTCTCCCCATATTACCCACGTCCTCTGAATATTTTTTTTTTAAAAATTTTTGAAGAGCAGAGATAAAATCATTGCAAGTGAGTAAAATAAATTTTGCTACATTTTATCGGAGTAACTAATTTGTGATTATTATTATTTCTTCTTCTTTTGTACAAACATCAAGCACAAAATTTTTACTTTCTTATTTTGGCATGCCAAACAAATTTGATAAAGTTTTAAGGGATGGATAAAGTGTCCCTTTTTACATTTTCAATACATTTGTACACAATTCATCCGTACCGGTCACACTTTGGGAAAGTTTAACCATTTGCACCATGCAATGCATATATACCTCTACTACAGTGGGTTCTCTATATCCAGGTTGAGAAAGTTAAACCATTTCCGAGACCCTCTCTTTCCACCTGACCCTTCGCTTGAGCCAGACACTCTACCATAAGGCCAACCGCAACCCGGTTCCGTCAATAAATCAAATTTGTCATCAATTTATACGTATTCATTCAGTCAATTCAATTTTCACTGCAACCCAGTTCTGTCAATAAATTTACGCAACAATGTTTTTTTTAATAAAGCCTTAATTTTATTGTTACACATCAATATTTTTTCCAATTTTTTGTTATATGTAATTATGATTTGAAAAATCAAACATTCCAATGTAAAAATAAATAAATTTAGAGTTTGATTTTATAGCGGTTACTTTAGACCTATTTTAAAAAGAATTAGGTTTACAAATCTTGAAGAACTGAAATTTCATTTTTTTTCAACTTTATATATCCAAGATTGGTGTCATATGAAAGATCATGAAAAGTTATGAATTATCATATATTTTTTATAAAAATTGAAATTCAAATAAAAAAGTTATAATAGTTTAAATATAATTGGGGTTATAATTTAAATGAGACCATTGCTTATTTCTTTATGCCCAACAACCACGATTGCTTTGTCTTCTTAGTGAATAAGGCCTGAGGTATTCACTTGAGCGGAGCTACCAAGCCACTTTGGCACGCACGTATACCATGGGTTGCATCAATTTTTGGGGTAAAAACCTTAAAAATAACTGTTGAGTTTTATCCAACACGATATAGTAAATATATGTATAAATGTCTATGAACAACTCAGTTTTTACGTGGAAACCCGAAAGGGAGAAAACCACGGGACTTTTTAGGCTAATGTCCAAGCCCTCTCTTTCTCATTAGGACTCTCCTCACCATTACATAGTACAATTTGTTTGAAGCTCCCATTAATGGAGTTCTAATCTAGCTAAGGAGGGAGAAGAAGAAAGGAAAAAGGGATCCTTTACATGGAGGCTAAGCTCCATATTTATAGGAAATAGGGGGAAAGGGGGCTCTCCACCCTAACGGGCCGCATGGACCGGAATGGGCCCAAATGGCTAAAGTGGGCCAGAATGGGCCGAAACGGGCCTAGCTGCTTGGGCTCCGTACTGGATAATGTCTTCGGCTCCTGAACAGTAATAGGCCGGGATAATATATCCCAACAATAACATTTTCACCTCAGGGTTGCAATCAGCCTAAGGCAGGGGATTGGCATTCCTGGTTTGCACACATGGTTGTCTAATGTATTTGAGAGAATTAGAGTCCTAGTCTATTGTGATAACTCATAGGGAAAGTTCCCGAAATAGGACTAAAACTGTTTGAAAATTCCAAAATAAGACTGTCATGTTTTTTAATCCCAGAATAGGGGTAGTTACTGTCAAGTTTGGAAAAAACTGCCATGTTTGAAATCTGGTACTGCCAAAACATGATAGTAATTAGTCCTATTTTGGAAATAAAAACATGACAGTCCTATTTTGGAATTTTCAAACCTTTATATTCCTATTTCGGGTAATATTCTCTAATGGATAACTACCATCATCTTAATTGAACTAAACAGTATTATGGTTGTACTAATTTTAAATCATTATCATTTTATAATTCCATATATTTAAATTTGCTTTACCCTCCAATGCAAACATGCCCAAAAATTATAAGTTACTCTGTAGCATTTATATGAAGAAAAAATGAATTTGCATGCATCCTTTTCTTTCCATAGTTGTTAAGAGAAATGGCTAGAAAGTTTGGTATTTTTCAATGGGTTGGACTCTTGTTATTCAAAAGAAAACCAATCTAAAACTAATGGGGTTGAATTGTTGGCATGCTAAGGCTTTGTTTGCAACCACTTCTGCTTAAATAAAAGCACTTTTGGGGAAAAAGTGATTAGTAGTAAAAGTTGGTAGTGTTTGGTAAAATAAGTGTTTTTTGTGTAATAGAAAAAGTAAAAAGTAGATTCTACACGGAAGCCGAGAAAGTAAAAGTTGGTAGTGTTTGATAAAATAAGTGTTTTTTTCTTAAAAAAAAAGTTAAAAGCACTTTTTTAATGGGTTGCAAACAGACCCTAAACGCTTTGACACTTCATTCCACATCGACACTAAAACCAGTTTTTTTACGTAAGAACTCAACACATAGAAGTATATTATATCATGAAATAATTAAATAAATATGACCAAAATAATAATGGTTTACAAAAATATGACTAGTTACTAGAGTAGAAATGAAATCATAGTAATTCATGTTCAAGTTTTGAACGTAAGTTACCACAACACTACGTTGTAGTAATGAATAGTCATATTTATGTAAATAAGTTTTATTTTAGTAATGTTCTTGTAAAAAACCCTATAATCATTTTGTTCGTGATGCCATTAATACTTGCCAAGAGAGATCCTTCCTTCTGTTTGGCGATGGAGGTGGCGAGCGACAAATACAATGTAGCAGATCCCCGTCGGTGACAATCGGCGGCCTGTCCATGGCTAGCGATGAGCGGTGACGACCAGAGAGCGGCGATTCCGATTCGAGCAGATGATAGCCGCCAGAGTTCAAATTCAGATCTGTGATGACGGCTATCATTTCCTATGGATATGTGTTCCCTTTTTTAATTAATAAAACGTCGTAGTTTTGGGATCGGCACACCATGCTCATGGTGGGCCGATCCCACGGTATAAATTGCGGTACTTAAGGGAAAACCTAGAAAAAGAAGTCGCATTTCTAGAGTCTTGAAAATGGTGGAGGCGGCACACCTCAAACCCTAGGCTAAGCCTAGGAACTGTGCGTCAATCTGTGGATTCTTAGGGCGGCGAGATTGCTTTGTCGATCGAAAGCAACGTCCAAGGATGAGGAAGGGCTGATCGTGGAGGTTGGAGGATGTTTTGATATAAACTCTCGGAGATTTTTGGTAGGGATATGACCCAACGGGAGTCTTCTTCTTTTCTGATTGTGTTTGTTTTGTTTTGTAACGGTTCTTTCCTGAGCACTGGCGCTTCAGGGTGGTCTGTCTCTCTCAATGTGGGGAGTTGTTTTGTTGTACTGGCCAGCTTTGCCAGGTCAGAGATTTCTGTTTGTATTCTTTTGGAGTGCGTAGACATTCATAGAGCTCGTCCACCTCCAGAACCACCTCAATGCCAGGAATAGTATTATGGAAAGTCTATTTCAATTTTACTTTTTCTTCGGTAGTACTTGTTTTTATTTTTTGAGTAGGTTTAGTTTGGTTTTTTGGATTTTTGGAGTACGTTAGATAGGCGGTGTTTTGGATCCAGTTGTTTTAGGCTTAAAATTGCCCATTTTGTGTCTAGTGAATAAGGTTGCTTTTTATGAGGTTACTGATTATATGTCTATTCCTAGGGCCGACGATCAGATATGTCATGACTGTCTAGATGTTGTCATGTATCATGTATGGTTACTCAATTTTAATACAAAAAGCCGCCCTTTTATTCTAAAAAAGAGCTTTGAAAATGGTTTTAGTCAATTGCTCCACGCATTAATGGAAATAAGTTTTAGAAGTATGTATAAGTGACCCCCCGTCCCGCTATGATTGTCTCATTTTACCTTTTCGATCCGTCCCACTAAGATTGGCTCATAGCTTATTTGGTAAAGTTTGCGTGGTTTCAAATCATTATTCTTACTTTATCAATTCAATATCAACCACATAAACTAACTTTTATTAATAACCGTGTCACTTTCTATTGTCCTAAACTTAGGAGGACGGAGGTAGTATTTAATACGAGTAAATTTTGTGGCACAAGTTGTGTGAAAGTAAAATACTCCCTCCGTCCCTTATAACTTTGCCAACTTTCCTTTTTTGGTTGTCCCAAAAACTTTGCCACTTTCCCTTTTAATCAATCAATTTGAGGCTCATGTTATTTCTCTCTCCTCTACACAAATCTATACCACACAATTTTTATTTTATTATTCTACGTGCCGGTCAAACTTGGCAATCCTTTTAGGGACGGAGGGAGTATTTTACTATACTCACACACGACGTTGGGGGGGGGGGGGGGGGGGGGTACTTTTTTATCGCACGACCTTTCAAAGCTCTTGTCATGCGTCTCATTATTGTCTGTGAACTGTGAAGCTATGCATGCATTCCTAAAATAGTCCACTTCTAGTCTTCTAAGCATTAGTGACAATTCCAAGTCGAAATTGTTTTTTATGAAGACACATTTGATGACCGGCTATATTTTTGGTCCATCGTGTGATTAACTATAGTGGCAATGTGGCATTGCTTATCATCATACCACTTTAATCGAGGGAATAAAATAAAACTGTACTGAATAAAGATCAATATCTAAATTCTGAAGTACAAGACCAAATTACCAAATGTGTCTTGTTTGAAAAATCAATATTTGAATTGAGACCATTGCTCTAAAATTGGTCTAGTCCGTCCAATTAATCGGGCGCCTAGGTGCTAGACGCCTCTCAACCATCCGACTAGGACCTAGCGAGTTCTAGAACAGAGATCGACACTATAACAGTATAACTTAGGGACTAGCATTAGAATTAACTCCAAAATGTAGTGTTGACATTTCAAGGCAGACAAAATCAGCTAGAATTCAAACAAGGGTAGGAAGTCAGCTAAATAAATCAACTGCAAAAACTGGACTTGTGAAATTAAG